GAACGACTAGATCTTGTTCCTTTTGAAGAAACTTTCATACAAAAAGGGGGCAGCTTTTTATTATATTTGAGTATTTGTTTGTTGCCTTTTTTTTTCTTTGAGACAGAGTCTACTCTGCCACCCACGGCTGGCAGTAAAGTGGCCGGACCTGTAGTCCCAGCTACTCGGGAGGCTGAGGTAGGAGGATCGCTTGAGCGTGGGCAGTCAAGGCTGCAATGGGCCAAGATCCCACCACTGCACTCTAGCCTGGTTGACAGAGCAAGGCCCTATCTCCAAAAAAAAAAAAAAAAAGGTCCATCTCAAATCTGCCCACTCTCCTTCCACTAGGTCGAGCTCTGTCCCCTCCTGGCTTCCCCTCTGGCCCCCACAGTCTGTTTCCCCCAAATAAACCACCAGGGGGCACCTGTGAGCACCTGTGTCAGGACCCGTCCCTCCTCTGCCTGTGCACAGCCCTTCATGGCTATCACCTCCCTCAGGGTCTAGGCCCAAGTCTTCCTCACAGTCTACACAGCCCTGCAGGACCTGCGCTCAAAGCTCCCCATCCTCCCCTCCCCCCCACTCCTCCAGCTCGCTCTGCTCCAGCCACACTGGCCTCCTCACTGTTCCTCCAACATGCCAGGCACAGTCCTGCCCCAGGGCCTTTGCAGGGGCTGTGCCCTCTGCTTGGAACTCTCTTTCCCCAGGTTCTCCCATGGCTGGTTCCCTTTTTCCTCCAGGTCTTTGGTCAAATGTCACTTCCTCAGTGATGCCTTGGCAGCCCTATTTTTATTTATTTATTTTTTTTGAGGTAGTCTCACTCTCACCCAGGCTGGAGTGCAGTGGTGCAATCACAGCTCACTGTAGCCTTAAACTCCTGGGCTCAAGCAATCCTCCCGCCTCAGCCTCCTAAGTAGCTAGGACTACAGGCACGCACCACGCCTGGCTAGTTTTTAAAGTTTTTGTAGAGATGTGGTCTTGCTATGTTGCCCAGGGTGGTTTTGAACTCCTGGCTCAAGTGATCCTCTAGCCTCAGCCTCCCAAAGTGTTGGGACTACAGGAGTGAGCCACTGCACCCAGCCACACCTCCCTTTCTAACCTAATATGTCATTTACTCTAAGATTACATTTCTTTCTTAGCATCCATCTCCTTCCCTGGAATGTCAGGTTTTAGTCTTTCTTTTTTTATTTTTTCCTTTTTTTTTTTTTTTGATATGGAGTTTCGCTGTGTTGCCCAGGCTGGAATGCAGTGGGATGATCTTGGCTCACTGCAACCTCCACCTCCCAGGTTCAAGCTATTCTCCTGCCTCAGCCTCCCGAGTAGCTGGGACTACAGGCTCCCGCCACCACACCCAGCTAGTTTTTGTATTTTTAGTAGAGACGGGGTTTCACCATGTTGGCCGGGCTGGTCTCGACCTCCTGTCTCAAGTGATCCGCCCACCTCAGCCTCCCAAAGTGCTGGGATTACAGGCGTGAACCACCGCGCCCGGCCTAGTCTTTCTTACTCATAGCTGTGTTCCAGCACCTAAGAGAGTGCCCAGCCTTAGTCACTGCTCAATACACATTCGATGAATGGATGAAGAGCCAGGCACAGTGGTGAGGACTTGTAGTTCCTGCTACTAGGGAGACTGAGGCGGGAGGATCGCTTGAGCCGGGGAGGTTGAGGGTGCAGTGAGCTATGATCGGGTCACTGCACTCCAGCACTCAGGGCGACAGAGCAAGACCCCTGTCTTGGCCGGGTGTGGTGGCTCAAGCCTGTAATCCCAGCACTTTGGGAGGCCGAGACGGGCGGATCACGAGGTCAGGAGATCGAGACCATCCTGTGCTAACCGGTGAAACCCCGTCTCTAACTAAAAAATACAAAAAAACTAGCTGGGCGATGTGGCGGGCGCCGTAGTCCCAGCTACTCGGGAGGTGAGGCCAGGAGAATGGCGGGAAACCCGGAAGCAGAGGCTTGCAGTGAGCCGAGATCTGTCAACTGCGCCCCAGCGCTGGGCGACAGATCAAGACTCCGTCTCAAAAAAAAAAAAAAAAAAAAAAAAAAAAAAAACCCTGTCTCCAAAATAAGAATAAAATAGCTAGGTTGGTGTTGGTGCGTCACCTGTAATCCCAGCTATGCTTCTCTTGGAACGCTGGGCGAGGTGGGGGAGGATCACTTGCACCCGGGAAGCGGAGGTTGCAGCGAGCTGAGATCTCGCCTTTGCAGCCTAGCCTGAGCGACCAGAGGTGAAATTCTTCTGTCTTGAAAAAAATGTAAATAAAATGATAAGAATTAAAAAGTATGAATGAATGAAGACAGTGAGACCGGCCAGGAGGAAATCTGTTCAGGGCATTCCTGGGAGAAGGAAGCGCCGGTGCAGAGGCCCCGAGATGGGGATGGCTGGGCAGAGTAGTGGCTGGAGCTGAGCAGGTGGTTTGCCGGTGGGCGGAAGTGATTTGCAATATGATTAACCCAGGCAGATGGTGGCCGCGGGGCAGCCGCCCAATCCTCTTAGCTCAAAGCCCCTTAATACTTCCGCTGCGTGGGTCACCTCCGGGACTCCCCTGTGCCTGGCGGACACCATGCCGGGGCTGGCGGCCGAGGGGGAGGCCGAGGGCTGGAGCCCGTCCCCGCCACTGTACGAGGAGTACCGGCCACCGCCCCTGGACACCATCCGCCTGCCCAGGTACGTGCTGTACCTGCTCCTGGCCACACTGGTGGTGGTGGCCGTCGCCTACGCCATCGTCGGGCACCTCATCAAAGACCTCGCCCATGACCTGGCCGGTGAGCTGCCCCCACCGAAAAACCTAGCCTGGGCTGCTGCTGGACCACCCTGGGTGGGTGGTCAGGGGATCCAAGGGCTTCTCCTAGCTGGGGAGGGGACAGAGGAGGGTGGCCGGGGCCGGGGAGTTGCCTCACGAGCCCCCTTGCTGCAGACTGCATGTTTGGTCCGAAGCCAGACCAGGAGGCTGCACCCCGGGAGCTGCGCCCCAGCCTGACCGGAGAGGACTTGGAGGGGCTGGACCTGCAGCTGGCCCTAGCCTGGCAGGGCGAGGAGGACGCCGGCGGGGGTGGCGGGGCAGCCCCCTCTGAACCCCCGCCTCCCCCGGAGCCCCGCCGCCCCTCCATTGCCTTCAAGGATCCCCCATCCGGAAGCTCCTTCTGGAAGCTGATGTGAACGTGAATCCTGAATCCGGGTTCTGGACGCTTTGGCGGTCGTGTAGATGGAACTTGTGCGCACCGGAGCCCTTTCTGCAAATCCTGAGCTCCCTGGTCGCAGCGGACGGCTTTCTCCTCCCCAGCCAGCAGGTTCCCGGGGTTGGACGCTGGCTACTTTCACACTCTCAGAGCCTGCTCGGCTCAGCCTCGTCCAAGCTATCAGCAAACTGTGAACTAGAAGCACTAGGGCGATTTAAACCATGGTAATAGTATCGGCCAACCTTCCCTAGCGCTTAGTGCGTACCTGCTGCTGTGCAGAGCAGGCTTTTTCTATGCAGTATCTCATTTAGTCCTCCAAGGTAGAGCTGATCGCCCCCATTTAACAGATGGGGGAAACCGAGGCACGCAGTGGTGAAATGGCTTCGCCGAGGTCTCAGAGCACAGAGTGCTTTTCCCAGAAAAAGCCCAGGCAACTGACTGACTTTGGAGGGCAGGATCTCCGAGGCGGGTCCCGCCCCCACCCCCTCCGCTGGGCTCCCCTACCTCCAAAGCTTCTCCAGCCCCCACCTCGGCTGCTGGGTGGGCTCGTCTCTGGGGGGTGGTCCTGACTTCCTAACCAGATGGAGAGCTCCCAGACAGCAGCAAGGCCTCCTTCCCTCTCAAGCCCTGCACAAGATGGGATACACAGTAAGAGGTTAAGAGATGCCTGCCTGGCTGTTCGGGCAGACCTGTGGCCGTCCTCGGGCTGGGACGTGTGAGCCCGGTCCTGCTGAGTGGCCTGTCTGCTCAGTGGTTATCCACAGACCTCTGGAAGAGAGGAAGTGGCAGCAACTCAGCAGGCGCTCATAAACACACGTGCGATGACGACGCTGGGCCTTCCTACCACTCGCCTGGGCCATGGCTGCTCCTGTGTCAGCTGGGGTGGGGTCACCCTTCGCCCGGGCAGGGCCCGCTATCTAATCAGCCGAGGGACCAAAGTTGAGGACAGGAGAGCCTGGATCCTGAGTCATCAGCCCTCCGGGGCATCCCCACCTGAGAGCTTCCAGGTTTGCGGGTGGACCATGGGCATGTGGCCTCTGCACACCTTTCCTGTCCCTATGTGCTCCCACGGCTGCCTGTGGGTCCCCAGGGGCCAAGAACCTGGGCGAGGCAGGATAAGCTGGGGGTGAGGCATACCCGGCTTCAAATCCCAGGTCAGACCTGCTGTGTGACCTTGACTTTCCTGGGCTGTGCGCCATGAGACTGGCACCATTTCGCGGGGTGTTAAGAAAGGAAATGCGATCTGTGAAACTGCCGAGCACGGAGCCTTGTGTGTACTCTGAGAACACAAAAGTCAACTCTCAAATTAATTTTGTTTTTAGAGACAAGGTCTTGCTCTGTTGCCCAGGCTGGAGTGCCGTGGTGCAGTGGTAGCTCGCTGCAGCCTGGAACTCCTGGGCTCAAGCGATCCTCTCACCTCAGTCTCTTTGAGTAGCTGGGACTACAGGTGCAGGCCACCATGCTCAGCTAAGTTTTATATTTTTTGTTTTAGAGACGGTAGGAGGTTGGTCTGGAACTCCTGGTCTCAAGCGATTCTCCCGCCTTGGCCTCCCAGAGTGCTGGAATTACAGGCGTGAGACACCGTACCCGGCCTTGGTGACTTTTTATTTCTTTTGCGACAAGGTCTTCCTCTGTCACCCAAGCTGGAGTGCAGTGGTGCGACCATAACTGGCTGCAGCCTCAAACTCCTGGGCTCAAGAGATCCACTTCGGCACACCCTAGTAGCTGGGACTGCAGGCGCCCAGCGCGCCTGGCTGATTTTTCTATTTTTGTAGAGATAGGGCTTCGCTAAGTTGCCCAAGCTGGGCTCAAGGATCCGCTCGCCTTGGCCTCTCAATGTGGTGGGATTACAGGCGTGAGGCACCGGGCGGGCGCACCTTTTTAAAGATATTCTAGTTGTATTTGTCAGTTCCCCCTGTGCACAGAGTGGCAGGGGCCTGGGCCGGGACGGGAGGTCGCAGTCATCTCAGTTCCGCCCCTGCAGCAGGGATCGCGAGGGGGCGGCTGTGAGGCTGATGGTCTCCAGGGTAGGGTGCAGGGAGGAGGGACTCCCTCAGTTAATTGTTACACAGGTCCAGAGTCTGGCCTCCCGAAGGGAGAGCGATGGGGCAGGAGCTGGCAGGGGAGGGCAGGATGCCCAACCAGATGGTGCCAGGGGCGGGCCCTGCTCCCAGGTGTCAGGCATCCCCCGCCCCCGGACCGCCTGTGCCTTATCACGGGGAAGTAGGGCCTGGCCCACACCAAACCTGTGGACCGCCGCTGGCTGGCTGCTGGTTCGCTCGACCGTCATGGAGACCCTGGGGGTCCTTCTGGTGCTGGAGTTTCTGCTCCTCTCCCCGGCGGAGGCCCAGCAGGGTAGGTGCAGGGGGGCGGGAGAGAGCGTCGTGGGATGGGGGTGTTGGTCAGGTGATCACCATCTCCCAACTGTCCCTGGCCAGAAAGAGGAGAGGGGGCAGGAAGAAGAGGAAGGGTGGCTTAGGGGCCCTCCTCAAATCCCGCAGTCCCGCCCACCCTCCCCCTCGCTGGGCTCTGCCCTCCTTTGTAAGGGCCACCCCACTGCCCACTTGAGCCTCTCCCTTCTCCAGCCCTTCTGAGCACACCTGGCTTAGCCCAGCTTGAACTCAGCTCCACTCTCAGCTCCTGCCTCTTGCACAAGCCCCTCCCCATCTGAGCCCCCTCCTCCTTTGTAAGCCCCTCCTTCTCACTACTCCGCCTTTATAAACCCCTCCCAGAGTCCCTCCTCTTCTATAAGCCCCTCCCCTCTGAACGCCTCCTCCTTTATAAGCCCCTCCCCCTGAGCCTCTGCCTCCTATCTAAGCCCCTCCCACTCAGCCCACTAGTTCACAAGCCCCTCCCCATCTGAGCCCCTTCCTCCTTTGTAAGCCCCTCCTTCTCTTCCTCCTTTATGAACCCCTTCCTGAGCCCCTCCTCTGTTGTAAGCCCCTCCCTTGTGAGCTCCGCCTCCTTTTATAAGCCCCTCCCATGAGCTCCTCTGCTGTAAGCCCAACCCCCCCAGACTCTTCTTTATAAGCTCCTCCCCATCTGAGACCCTGTTCTTCACAAGCCCCTCCCCATCTGAGTCTCCTCCTCCTTCATAAGCCCCTCCTCTGAGCTCCTCCTCCTTTGTAAACCCCACCCCTGAGCCCCTCCTTTGTCATAAGCCCCTCCCCTCTCAGCGCCTCCTTTAGAAGCCCCTCCCCCTGAGCCTCCTCCTGCATTATAAGCCCCGCCCCTTCAGAGCCCTCCTGATTTGTAAACTCAGTCCCCTCCGAGCCCCCCTTCTTTATGAGCCCCTCCCCTCTCTGGGCCCCCAGGCTCCCTCCCACTCTGGTAAGGTACCCTCTCCCTCTCTAAAACCCGCCGACCCCCCTACGCCATCCCGGTCTCTGAAGCTCCGTCCCTTTCCAATACCCGCTCTGTCGGAGCACCCCCAGTGTCCTTCTCGCTCTCCTTGCTAGGGTGGTGGGGGAATGGGGGTCTCCTGCCCTGTCCTTCCTCTGAGTCGAACCTCCCCAACTTCCTGCAGCCACGGAGCGTCGCCTGAAGCCGTGGCTCGTGGGCCTGGCTGCAGTAGTCGGCTTCCTGTTCATCGTCTATGTGGTCTTGCTGGCCAACCGCCTCTGGTGCTCCAAGGCCAGGTGGGCGCCCGCCCCGCCCCGCTGCCCCCACAGCCCTGCCCAAAGCGCTGCCCCCGCCCCCAGCTTCCCAACCCTCTCTGGTCCCCCCATCACCAGCCTCTATGTCCAAAGGTCTCCCATTGCCCTGCTGCTCCTCCAACCCCTACTCTCAAAGCCCAGACCCCGGGCCTGCACCCCCGCCTCTCTCCCCAAGATAACCGGCCCAGCAGCCCAGCCCTTCTTTGCGTCCTGGGGTTCATGAGCGCCGGCTGGGAGGTTGGGACAGAGGCTGAGGTTGTTACACCGCTTCCTTCCCTTTACCTCCCCCTACTCCCCTCCCACCCCCTTCCACCCTTCCCTTTACCTCTGCAGGGCTGAGGACGAGGAGACCACGTTAAGAATGGAGTCCAACCCATACCAGGACTGGAGGTACTATGCCTGCGGGCGGGTGTCAGGGGTCTGTGTGAGCCCCTCCTCGGGGTGGGGGAACAGGTGTGCACTGATGATCTTACTGTCCTGAATCCTTCAAACACTTTACTGCCCTGGGACCTTCACCTTTCCTTTATCTTCTGGCAGCTCCTCCTCCTCTTCCAGTCCCCACTCAGGGGTTTCCGGCCTGGCCACCAGCCTTCCCGACGCGGTCCCCAGCCCCATGTCTCACTCACGTTTATCACCAGCAGAACGGTCTTAGTCATTCACTAAGTTCGAGACATTACATGGTGCCTTCCAGTTGTGTAGGCAACTTAGTTTTGGTCCTGGCTGTGTCCTCATACCCAGCATTGGGCCTGGAACACAGGAAGTGCTTAATAAATACCTGTTGAAGAAGACTGTGGTGTAGGATTGTGTAGGTGTCTGTACAAGGCCGAGGTATGGGTGACCCACCTGGACTCAGTGTCTCCTATGACACTGCCCACAAAGGGCTCAGGGATGCAGACATCCATCATCCATCCACCCATCACCCACTCATCCACCCACTCATCCATTCACCTACTCACCCATTCACCCACTCACCCATTCACCCATCCATCCATCCATCATCTATTCATCACCCATCTGTTCACTCACCCACCTGCCCACCCACTAATCCATTCACCCACCACTTATCCATCCACTCACCCATCCATTCATCACCTCCCATCCATTCATCACCCATCCATCCATCACCTACCCATCCACCCACCCACCATCCATCCACCCATCATCCGTCATTCATCCGTCCATCCATCCATCATCCATCACCCATCTATTCACTCACCCACCCCCTCACCCATCCATTCACCAACCCATCCACTCACTCACCCATCCACTCACCCGCTCATCTATTCACACACCCATCCATCTACCCACCCATCTATCCATCATCCATCCATTCACCATCCATCCACCTACCCATCTATTCATCCACCCACCCATCTATTCATCCACCCATCAATCCGTCATCCATCCATCCATCCATCCATCCATCCATCCATCCATCACCCATCTGTTCACTCACTCATCCACCCACACAGCCATCCATCCACCCATCCATTTATCCATCCATCCATCACCCATCTGTTCACTCACTCATCCACCCACACAGCCATCCATCCACCCATCCATTTATCCATCCATCCATCCATCCATCCATCCATCCATCCATCCATCCAGGACTGGGGGTGACCTTCCACTGGGAGGTGACCAGCCTGGCTGGGAGAGTCTCAGTTGAGTCCAAGACGTGCCTGAGGGAGAGGACCTGAGTGGTGACTTTGTCTAAGACCTGGTTCAGCCCCAGTAAAATCTGATTCCTATTCCCAGGATGTACTGGGGGATCTGGATCCCACCTGTACACCTGAACCTGTAGCTTCCTTTCTGCCTTGTTCATTCCTCCATCCATCCACCCAACCATCCACCGGTACATCCATCTATTGGTTTGCCCGTGCAGTCCTCACCCTCCAACCACCCATCCATCAGTCCACCTACCCATTAGCCCATTGATCTGTCCACTCACTGACACACCCACCCACCCACCTATGCATCCATCAAACTATGTAGTCTTCACTCTCCAACTGCCCATCCATTGGTCTACCTATCCATTAGCTCATTGATCTATCCCCCCACGTACAGTATCATTCATCCTCCCTCTACCTATCCATTGATATGTCATTCTCTTCTTCCTCCAATTCATCCTCTCATCTACTTACTAATCTGTCCCTCCCTCCATGCAACCATCAATTCACCTAACTGCTTATCTACTCATCCATCCATCCACATATACATTAGTTCATTGATCTATACATCCATCTATACTCCCATCCACCCATTCTCCATTCTCCATCCCTCCATCATTCTCTTTCCTGTAATGTATCCATCTATCTTCCAATTCATTTATTCAACCTCCATGCAGCAATCCATTCATTAACTACTTACCTATTCATCCATCCACCCACCCATCCATTCATCCACCAACCCATTCATTCATCCATCCACCCATCCATCATCCATCCATCCACCATCCATCCATCATCCACCCATCATCCGCCCACCCACACACCCACTCATCTATTCACTCACCCACTCAGTCACCCATCTGTTCACCCACCCATTCATTAATTCATCCACCCACTCATCCATCCATTCATCCACCCATTCACCCAACCACCCACACATTCACCCATCCACCCACCCACCCATCCATTCACCCACCATCCGTCCATCACCTATCCATCTATCATCCATCCACCCACTCAACTATCCACTCACCCATCCAACCACCCACCCATTCATCTGTCTTCTCATCCATTTATCATCCACCTATCCACCCACCCACCCATCCATCCATCCTTCCAACCGCTCACCCAGTTAGCCATCCACCCATTCATCCACTCATTCATACAACCATCGATCATCCATCCACCCACCCACTGTCCACACACCCATCCACTCATCTACCCATCTATTCCCCAACTTCTTTTTTTTTTTTTTGAGACGGAGTCTTGCTCTGTTGCCCAGGCTGGACTGCAGTGGCCGGATCTCAGCTCACTGCAAGCTCCGCCTCCCGGGTTTACGTCATTCTCCTGCCTCAGCCTCCCGAGTAGCTGGGACTACAGGCGCCCGCCACCTCGCCCGGCTAGATTTTTGTATTTTTTAGTAGAGACGGGGTTTCACCGTGTTAGCCAGGATGGTCTCGATCTCCTGACCTCGTGATCCGCCCGTCTCGGCCTCCCAAAGTGCTGGGATTACAGGCTTGCGCCACCGCGCCCGGCCCTATTCCCCAACTTCTTTACCCTCCTACCTATCTATCCATCCATTCATGGAGAAATTGAGTCTTAGTTGCAATGATGAATATGCAGTGTGAACCTCCATATCATCTGCCCAGCCATTTCCCCCAGCCTCAAAAGCAGCCTCCTTCCCCAGGGGTAAACTGAGTCCCAAGAGGCAACTGGGGCCCTTTGGCTTATGTCCATCCATCCATCCATCCGTCCTTCCATGGAGCAATTGAGTCGTAGGTGCTGTCTTTGTGAAATGGAAATCGTGAGGCTGCGTAGTTAGGATTATTTTGAAGATTCACTGAGATACCGCTTGTAAAACACTCATCACATGGGCTGGTTCCAGTGAGTGACTATTAAATAGGAGTGTCCCTGTTTCTTATTATGGTTTGGGGCCTTTGTATCCCTACAGTGAAGACAAGAGAGAGAAGAAAGCGGCCAAGGAGAAAGAAGAGAAGAAGAAGGAGAAAAAGGCAGGGAAGGAAGGAGAGAGCAACTTGGGACTGGAGCTGGAGGAAGAAGAGCCCAGATACCATGAGAGACCAAAGAACACAGCCATGTGAAGATTCCCGGCTACCTCTTCCAGGCAGCCCCCCAGAGATGCCTCTTCTGCCTCCTACAAGCAATGCCCTGGATTTGAATCCAGTGAAATGACTCCATCTGGGATTCAGAATACAGTGTTCTCAAGTGAAGAAGGCTTGGAACCCACCCCACCTCCCTCAATGGGGGCTCTCTGGGCAAACATAGTTTTCATGCACCCCTCTTCCTGAGCTTGGTCCCTGCCTGGCGATTCTTCTCATACTTGAAGAGCATCCCTGGTTGAGGAGACACCCACAATCCTCCACCATCTCATGGCTCCACCTGCTTCTACCCACTGCCTGATTTCTTTTCTTTCTGCCTGATGTCTACTGGCCAGAACTTCCCCTCTCCCATGCACCCACTCCCAGCTGAGGATTACTTCCCGATGGCCTGCATTAAAGCATTCATAAGAGCCCTTTGGAAGGGCTCCTGTCATCTCTTGGGACTCAGTTTACCTCTGGGGAAGGAGGCTGCTTTTGGGGCTGGGGATGATGGCTGGGCGGATGATAAGGAGGCTCAGGCTGCACAGGTGCCCAGATGCCCTGGGCAGATTAAACACTCCCCCAGCAATCTGGCATTTTGCTGTTCTGAGCCCCGGACTTTGAGCCCTGAGCGCCGTCTCCACGGAAATCTTTGCTCCTTCCCCCACTCCACCACGTTTTGGGGCACGTGACTTTGTTCCTGGGAGCTGTATCTTGGAGGGTGGGGGTGCCCCAGGGCCCTGCAATATCTTGGAAAGGGACTAGTACTTCCTTTTTCCAGTTTCTATTCTCCCGCTTCCCCTCACCTTCTCCAGGCCCTGAACCTTGCCCCGAACAATGACCATTTCTCTTTTTTTTTTTTTTTTTTGAGATGGAGTGATCTGTCACCCAGGCTCTGTCGCCCAGGCTGGAGTGCAATGGTGTGATCTCGGCTTACTGCAATCTCCGCCTCCCAGGTTCAAGCAATTCTCCAGCCTCAGTCTGGCCACAGTGACCATTTCTTAACGAGGACCTCTTTCTTTTCCTTTCTTTTTTTTTTTTTTTTTTTTTTTTTTGAGACGGAGTCTCGTCTGTCGCCCGGGCTGGAGTGCGTGGCGGATCTCAGCTCACTGCAAGCTCCCGCCTCCCGGTTTACGCCCATTCTCCTGCCTCTCAGGCCTGCCCGAGTAGCTGGGACTACAGGCGCCCGCCACCTTGCTCTGGCTAGTTTTTTGGTATTTTTTAGTCAGAGACGGGGTATTCACCGTGTTAGCAGCGATGGTCTCGAATCTCCTGACCTCGTGATCCGCCCGTCGTCGGACCTCTCCAAAGTGCTGGGCATTACAGGCTTTGAGCCACCGCTGCCGGCCTTTTTTGAGAGATGGGTGAGTGTCGCCTCTGTCGCCCAGGCTGGAGTGCGGAGTGGCGGGGATCTGTCGGCTCACTGGGGCCTCTTCGGTTCACGCCATTCTCCTGCCTCAGCCTCCTGAGTAGCTGGGACTACAGGCGCCCGCCACCTCGCCCGGCTAGTTTTTTGTGTTTTTAGTAGAGATGGGGTTTCACCGTGTTAGCCAGGATGGTTTCGATCTCTTGACCTCGTGATCCGCCCGCCTCAGCCTCCCAAAGTGCTGGGATTACAGGGGCCCACCACCACCCCCGGATATTTTTTGGGTATATTTTAGCAGAGATGGAGTTTCACCGTGTTAGCCAGGATGGTGGTTATTATTTTTTGAGACAAGGTCTCACTCTGTTTCCCAGGCTGGAGTGCAGGGGTCAGGAATTCTCCGCTAGGGGGCATTTGCAAATTAAAAAATAAAATAAAATATTTTGTAGAGACAGGGTCTTGCTCTCTTGTCTAGGCTGGAGTGCAGTGGTTCCATCATAGCTCATTGCAGCCTTGACCTCCCGGGCTCAAGCAATCCTGCTGCCTCAGCCTCCTGAGTAGCTGGGACTGCAGGCGCGCATCACTACACTCAGCTAATTTTTTTTTTTTTTTTTTTTTTTTTGAGGCGGGGTCTCCCTCTGTTGCCCAGGCTGGAATGCAGTGGCACGATCTTGGCTCACAGCAACCTCCAACTCCCAGGTTCAAGCAATTGTCATGCCTCAGCCTCCTGAGTAGCTGGGATTACAGGCACCCGCCACCATACCCGACTAACTTACATGTTTTTAGTAGAGACGCAGTTTCGCCATCTTGCCCAGGCTGGACTCAAACTCCCAGGCTCAAACAATCCATCCTCCTCGGCCTCCCAGAGTGCTGGGATTACCGTCATGAGCCCCTGTGCCCGGCTAATTTTATTTTTTGATAGAGCTAGGGTTTCGCTATGTTGCCCAGGCTGGTCTCGAACTCCTGGCCTCAAGTTATTCTCCCATCTCGGGTCTCCCAAATTGCTGGGATTGCACGCATGAGCCACTGCACCTGGCCACATTTGGAAATTTTTTGCGGGGGCATTTTGGGTTGTCACAAGCCTGCCCCCGTTTTAGGGTGGGGAGTCGGGGTGACCAACCCAACAGCCTGCAGTGCTGGGACGGCCCCCACCTCCCAGCCAGGAATCTCATCACTCAGTAGCCAAAGGCTGGACACGACCGAGGTTTTCCGTAAGATCCAAGGGGAGGCTAGGTTTCCACCCCTCTGAATTTCCACCCCAGCCCCGGCTGACCCCCTGACCTCGGCTCAACCCCTGCTCTACAAAAAGCCTCCTCTGGCCTGGCTGGAGCCCCCCTTTCTGGCTGCGGAGAGGAGCAGGGATGGGGAAGGTGGGTGGGGTTCCCAGTCTGCCCACAAGGGGGCGCCAAAACCTCGCTGCAGAGGGTGGTGGGGGCCACCGAAGTTGGGAGGGGGACGTGGAAGGGGCCTGGGACCCCCCATCCTTGGTGTCCTCGGTGCCTGTCACCAGGAAGGCGTGGGGCTGTGTATCTGTGTGCCTGCTGCCCTGTTAATGCACCTTACCTCGCTTCTTTGTGCCTCAGTTTCCCCATTTGCTAAAAAGGATCGTCCCTGCCTTGTGGTCTTGTGGGTAAGACGGAAGCAGCCCATGGGGCAAAGAGCTTTTCTGGCTCAACCTGGGGTTTTGGAGTGGGGGACAGAATGGAGGGCCCCATCTCAGCTCCCCAAGAAATAGTCTCTCACACTCTTGGTTTTTTTGAGACAGGGTCTTGCTCTGTTGCCCAGGCTGGAGTGCAGTGGCGCGATCTTGGCTCACTGTAGCCTCTACCTACCGGGCTCGAGGGATGTTCCCACCTCCACCTCCCAAGTAGCCGGGACTACAGGAATGCACTCCCATGCCTGGCTAATTTTTTTTTTTTTTTTTTTTTTTTGCTGGAGTGCAGTGGTGCAATCTCCACCTCCCAGGTTCAAGCAATTCTCCTGCTTCAGCTTCCTGAGTAGCTGGGATTACAGGGGTGAACCACCACACCCGGCTAATTTTTGTATTTTTAGTAGAGACAGGGTTTTACCATGTTGTCCGGGCTGGTCTCAAACTCCTGACCTCAAGTGATCTGCCTGCCTCTCAAAGCGCTGGGATTGCAGGCATGAGCTACCACACCTGTCCCCTCTTTTTTTTTTTTTTTTTTTTTGAGTCTCACTCTGTTTCCTAGGCTGGAGTGCAGTGGTGAGATACTGGCTCACTGCAGCCTTTGCCTCCTGCGCTCAAGCGATTCTTGTGCCTCTGCCTCCTGAGTAGCTGGGATTACAGGCACGTGCCACCACACCTGGCTAATTTTTGTATTTTTAGTAGAGATGGGGTTTCACCAAGTTGCCAGGCTGTTCTCGAACTCCTGGAATCAAGGGATCCATATGCCTTGGCCTCCCAAAGTGCTGGGACTGTAGGCGTGAGCCACCGCAGCCAGCCCCTCTCACACTCCTGATTCTCCTGGGTCCCAGCCTCCTTCCCTCTCTGACCTCAATGTGGGAGGGGCTCCCGGGCTGGAGGGGACAGAGCTGGATACGGTCATGCCCATGAGTGGTCAGGGCTGGGTCAGGAGGGATCGGGGATAGAAGCTCTGCTGGGGCAGGTGGGGAGGGCTTCCAGGAGGAGGGCGTGTTGGAACCATGTTGGGGCCCATCCTTCTGCCCCCAGCCCTCCATGGCTCCCACCTCCTTCAGAGGAAAAGTCAAGTTTTCCCTGTGGCCCACAAGGCCCTGCATGACCTGCCCCGTCCCCCCACCCCCCAACCTCCAGTCGTCCCTCCATCCCTCTCCTCACTCTGCTCCAGCTACACGGGCCTCCTCACTGTTCCTCCAATGAAGCAGGCATGGTCCCGCCTTGGGGCGTTTGCAGGGGCTGTCACTTCTGCCAGAATTTGAGGACGCTCCTTCCCTCCCTCCCTCCGGGCCTCTGTCTAGATGGGACCACCCCCCACCCTTCCTCTGCTCAATGGCCTACTCATCACTTACCTCCTCTGACATCTTTTACTTCTATTTTATTGATTGATTGGAGACAGGGTCTTGCTCTGTTGCACTCCAGGCTGGACAGCAGTGGTGCAATCACAGCTCACTGCAGCGTCAACCTCCAGGGATCAAACAATCCTCCCACCTCAGCCTCCTGAGACGACAGGTGTGTCACCACGCCCAGCTAACTTTTTAAGTTTATTTGTAGAGATGGGGTCTCACTATGTTGCCCAGGCTGGTCCTGAACTCCTTGACTCAAGCAATCCTCCTGCCTTGGCCTCCCAAATCGCTGGGATTACAGGTGTGAGTCGCTGCACCCGGCCACTTGTTTGTTGTTTATTGTTCTTCCCGACCTGGAGGAAGCTGTAGGTTCCAAGAGGAGACCTGATTTTCAGTGTTTTGTTCACTGCTGGGTCTCAGTGCTTGTACTCAGGAAGTCTTTGCTCCATGACTGGGAGTTTGCCAGGTGGCAAGAGAAGGCATTTTGTGCATTTATTGAGCACCGACTGTGTGCCAGGCTTGGACGACTCCAAGGCGTAAGGGAGGGGGCGGAATCCCCTGTGCCTGACATGGAGTGGGTGCCCCATAGATGCCTCATGGAATTCACCGATAGCTCTGAGACTGCTGCGGGAGGGAACCAGGCTGGAGAAAGGTGGGAAGGCTTCCTCGCAGAGGAGGACACCCGTGTGAAAAGGTCTGCACAGATGGGGAGGCAGGAATGAGCAAAGGCCCAGGGGTATGTGAAACAGCCCATCCTACAAAGGCGAAGAGGTTACCAGCCACCAGGGGCGTTGCTGGGACAGGTCCGGCGTCAGAAGCTTGTTCAAAGCCACCATCTAAAGTGGGTCTCCCCACCCCCGGGCACTGTGGAGATGGGTGCTGGATCACTCTCTGGGGTGGGGCTGTCCTGGGCACTGCAGGGTGCTGAGCGGCGTCCCTGGCCTCCACCCACTCCATGCCAGGAGCATGCCCCAGTCATGACAACCACAGATGTCTCAGACATCACCCAGTGTCCTCTGGGGGGCAGGATCGCCCTTGGGTGAGACTCCCTGGGTTAGGGGATTTCATGGACCCCCCAGTACACTGCG